CCCCGCGAGTATCGCGGGTCCCCCCCTTGTACCAATATAAATTTCAAAGAAAAATAATAAACAAAACTCAGAAAATACAAACTTCAGAGAACAAAAATAATAAAACATATGTTGAAGAACTAGCCTGCTACCTGTGCTTCGCTAAGTTATTTAACTTCCGTAAATCCAGTTATAATACCGATGATGTGAAATTTGAAATGTGACATTTGCTGTAGGAATTCTAATGGAGAAGACTGTAGTGTAAGAAATGAAGTGAGACATACGTACTTTTTTTTCTCTCTACTGAAGGATCTCTTTCTAGACCACATTGGAGGTTCTGCCCTCAGGTGCTAGGATCACCAGGCTGCTTGATGAGCTCACTCTGGAGCAGGCCACATAGAACTGTCCATTTAAGAAGCAGTCTGTTAAGTCTGCTCCTGCTACCTTCCACGAAAGTGATGTCCTCTCTACTTGTGTTCCTGGAATGTTTTGCTCATATGGAGACTGTGTTGTTCTGAGCACCTCAGAGTGATCTTGCCGGTACTCGGCCTGGGCAGCTCTGTGCACTGCAGGAGTGCTATGTGCAAATGTCTTTGCCGCATTCCTAAGTTGCCTCCTCCTTGTAGCATTGGTGTATCTGGCTTGACGTTCGCCAGGAGCTTTCTTGGGGGCAGTAAGAGGTGAGAGGTATGAGGGGGAGTTGGTGTGAGGGAGTGGTGATGTGGTGGACATTTCTTCAGGTTCATGAGGGAGGCACGCATCGAAATGGCTCCTAGAAGTGTCCTTTACTATCTCCCCATAAACATTCATACCCTGGCCCTGCTCCTACACCTGACAGACACCAGCCTGTCTGGTGTTGGGAGGGATTGTTTTTAAAGCCATCATGGAGGCTGGGCCAGCAGCAGTGCTAAGGCAATCCTGCAGAGCAAACTTCCCCGGTGGCTGTAAGCATCCCACCTCCTCTCCTACACCTGACAGGCAGCTGCCTGTCCAGTGTAGGAGCGGGAGGGGGGAGGAGTATTAGAAGCCACTGTGGAGGTGGCGTGGCCAAGCTCATCGGGGGGGAAACATATGGTTCCCCCCCGACGAGCTCAGCCACGCCCCCAACGTCAGCAACGTGGCTGCGTCACCTCTGGTGACGCAGCTTCGGGGGCGGGGTTCCCCCCGGGCCCCGATTCCGCCAGGGCGGAAATCGGGGCTCCGAAGCAGGGGGTTCCCCGCCCCCCGGGCACATTTGGCAACCCTATAGGTGTAAGAGGTGGGGGGAGTGTGTTGGAAGCCATCCCACCTCCTACACCTGACAGGCAACTGCCTGTCCAATGTAGAAGGGGGAGGGGGAGGAGTATTAGAAGCTACTGTGGAGGTGGGGCTGCACCTGACAGACAATCGCCTGTTAGGTGTGAGAGGTGGAAGGAGTGTGTTGGAAGAGAGGCTGGGCCAGCAGCTTTGCTTCACCTCACAGGCAGTTGTCCACTCCTGATTTCCTCAACTGTCATTAGCTGTCTGCAGTCCCCTGTAACTGTTGTTGTTGTTTTTTTACCTCAGAACACTGAGGTCTGCAGCTGACCAATCAGAGAGTGGGGGGTGCAGAGAGGCAGCTGCCTGGCAGCCGCATAGGAATCAATAGGGGGAGCACATTTTCCCCCTTTTGACGCACTTAGAGGTCAAATTTCTAAAAATCCTTTCTTAGCGAGCACCTACGCCATGGTAGGAGTGCTCTCCCCGAATTTGGTGTCTCTAAGTCCAGTGATTTGGCCTGGGCGTTGATTTTACAGTGAGGGGACTTTCTTTTTTATATAGATAGATGAAACCAGCCTCCATATTTTTGATCTCTTCAAAAACCCTCCTAAAGAGTTCAGTTTCTCAACACTTTTTGAAAGCCAAAAAGTTTAGGTGCCTTCCTTACTGCCTCCAGAAGGGTGTTTTGAAGCATGGAGACATCCACAGTGAAGATCCAAGAATGGCATAGGCAGGTCTAACAAATCTACAGGAAGGGATAGTTATAGCTCTTGCTGGAAGAAATAGTGCTTTAAACTCCTTCTGAGGTGAGATTTTATGGATCTGTTGAAGGCACTGGGAAACTACCTGTGCCAGATCTTCTTAATTAGGTAGTGGTTGTGTTTTATTTACTTATTCATTAATTTATGTATATGCTGGGAGAAAGTCTGTGGTTAATCTCTAATGCCTTGGACCACACATTTTGAATCTCTTAAACACCTTTTTCTGTCAAGAAAATAACGGAAAGTTTTCACTTTCAAAGGAAACACATCTTCATCCAGTAAGCCTTCTGCTGTTCATCACATACTAATTGGTTTACAATATTGTCTATTGGGAAGATGTAATGGCATGGACCCCTGCAATGAACAAATTCTGGTGACAGGTTTAAATGAATTTTTGGAGGAATGATCATCCTGTACCAAGTGAATGTGACATTAAAATGTTTCTGTTCTCTTCAGGTTTCTGCAGGTTCTATTGTGCTTTTTGAAAAAGAAAACTTCTCTTTGTCAGCAAAGATAGAAGAAAGGCCTCTCCCTCAAGGAAACAGGCTTCTTTTACAGTGGGCCCAAAAGGCATATGGGGCAGTAACGTCTTTCACTGAGCTCAAAATATCCAAAAATGTTTACATCAAAGTGGGTGAAGGTAAGTTTACCAAAATATCACTGTTAACTTACTTAATGTTTGGTTCATTGAGATTTTTTGTGGTTGGACGGGAGCCTTAATTAAGGGTTTCCAGGTCTACTTCATGCTAGCTCAAATGTCCAAGACCGTTTGTTCCCTTGATAAGTTAGAGAAATTTCACCAAAATTTAGGAAAGAAAAATCTTCTATTTATCTTTGTATATAATATAAGAACATAAGACGAGCCCTGCTGGGTCAGACCATTGGTTCATCTAGTCCAGCATCCTCTCTCACACAGTGGCTAACCAGTTCATATGGAGGGCCAACAACAGGGTATGGAGGCTGAGGCATTCTCCTGATGTTGCGTTCTGGAACTGAGATTCAGAGGCTGGCTGCCTCTGAATGTGGAGGTTCCCTTTAGTAACCATGACTAGTAGCCACTGTTAATACCTACTGTCCATGAATCTAATTCTCTTTTAAAGCTGTTTATGCCTGTAGCCATTGCTGCATCCTCTGGCAGCAAATTCCACATTTTAATCACTCTCTATGTAAAGAAGTATTTCCTTTTAGGGTAATAGTGTCCCACCAAGTGTCCAGAGACTAGGGCTGCCAAGTGGGGTCAGGGGGCAGATAAACCCCTGCTTCAGAGGCCCGATTCCCGCCACCATGGAATCGGGCCCCAGGGGGAACTCCGCCCCCCGAAGCGCAGCATGGTGACCTCTGGTGACGCAACCATGTCAGTCACGTTGGGGGCGTGGCCCCGATCATCAGAGGGAAAACTCTATGGTTTTCCCTCCAACGATCGGGGCCACGCCTTCAACGTGATTGACGTCGCGCATCGACGGACGACTCCCGGAGCCCGGAGAGGCTCCCCCGCCAGTAAGAGATTTTGACTTGGCAACCCTACCAGAAACCAATGGATTGAACCCTCTTGTTCCTCGTCCTTGGTTCCTAATCTAGTAGCAGTAAATATGGTGTGGTACCAGTTCTCTTGCATCTTCTTTAGTCATCATTCTGATTATAGGAAAACATGCTCTTTCTTATGTGAGACATTAGAGTACCTCTAATCCCCTTTCATCACAGTGGTTGCACTCTACCTTAGGGTTTGGCAAGAGGTCCTAAGTTTCACATATTTGTGATCTTTGTGATCACTGATGATGATCATCTCTTTTTTATGCTTCTGAGATGACTAGTTCATGCTAGAAATGGGGGGGGGGAAGATCTTAGATTTTCAGAGCCTTGTTGTTGTCTAACAAGGCTGCTTTAAATCAGGGTAGCGTCTGTTATTAGTTAAAAAAAACAAGTCCATGAGTGAGAACTAAACCTTCTCCCTTCCCCTTCTTACCTTGCTGTTTTCTCCCCAGACTGGGTTATATAACAGATCTCAGCTAGGCTGGGGTAAAGTGCTGAAAGCTAGGGTGAGAGAGGGGGCAAGGTTTTACTCCCATCACCCACAATGCTCTGTTTCAGGTTTTTTTTTAACTAGACCCCTACCTATCCACCCTAAAATCAGAAGTAAACTGATGGATAGGTGTTTAGATATACATGAATTTTCCCTCTTCCCCCAAGTCACGTTGAGTTATGCTATTGTTCCAGTTTAATACTGAAACCATTTCTTTTTTTCAGAGTGTAATATCTCCTGGACTGCAGCCTTCATGGCTCGCTATTATCTTAGTGAAACCTTAAAAAAGAGTTCCAACTAAGAATAAATCTGGTTTCTGATTTATAACTTTTGGCAATAATAATTTATTGAGGAAAGCTGATACATGACGAATGGCTCTGATATTCATAAAATGTGTCCTCATATTGTTAAGCCAGAATACTAATGCTTACTCCTACATTGGACCTTGTTGGCCAGGGACTTGATGGTAACACCTAATCTGTGTAGAAAGAAGCAAAACATCATCTTCTCCATTTTTAAGATAGAGGTGCTGCCTAGAATAAAAAATAGTAGGGCCCAGAGTACATTTTTTGGCTTTAGAGTACATTTTTTGGCTTTAGCAGGTGAGCCAGTAATATAAGTAAGGAGGAGAGAGATCTGCCAGTTTCATTACAGGGCCCCAGTGCTTTATCTGGCCAGTAGATCAGATCTCCTGGCATTTACAATTTCGGACATGCTATTTATGTGCTTCAGTGTAATGAAGGGAGTTCAAATGAAGATCACCAGGATTAATAAGAATTAAGATATTTTTCAAAATTAATTTCTTTCCTTTTTTAATTTAGAGAACTAAGGCAATCAGTGGAGGAAAGCTGATAAATGCATGTATAAATGTGACTGATCTGGTACACTGGTTTTGAAACTTCATGGAATGCCTTCAGCATTGATAAGTCTGTGAGGAATTGTTTTTTGAATTTCTTTATGAGACTGCTGTAATGTTTAAAGACATACCACCATTTGAGAATGAACTAGGGTTGCCAAGTAGTACTCACCTCCGGAGCAGGGGACTCCCGGGTGGATCCATAGAGTTTCCCCTTGGATGGTCGTGGCCCCGCCCCCAGCGTGCCCGGCGTCATAAGGTCACTTCCTAGTGACGTGCATGCCGGGGGTGGGGTTCCTCCCGGGGCTTAATTCCGCGGCGGCGGAAATCGGGCCTCCAAAGCGGGGGTTTACCCGCCACCCAAGGGCGTAGACTTTCCAATTTCCCGGGGGGGGGGCTGGGGCTGGGGCAGAGGCATTGCTGTGCTAGAAGCAAGGGTGGCTGGAACCAGTTGCCCCCGGGCAGGGGTCTTTTTGTAGAATAAGAGCTGCAGGAGCTCATTAGCATAACTCATTAGCATATGCCACACCCCTGACAGAAGGCCACACCCCCTGACATCACCGGACATGTGTCAGAAGACAGCACACACCGCTCCGGCTCCACTGGACTGTTTTGGATTAATAGCTGGGGGTGAGGAGAGAAATCTGCCCTCACAGAGGAGGGAGAGCCTGTACCTGAATAAAACTCGGTTTTAAAGGTGCCACTGGA